TGTGCATGAGATTTTATAGGGTAAATTACAAGCTTGGGGTATTGGCCAATAGGCATGAAACAGCTTTAGCAGCATCATTATCACAAAAGTAGAGGCAGGGAGGCAACAAACCAACATTTCAAGGCCAGATATGTCTCTCTGAAAATCCAGCTGGCTAGCAAAAAACATGAGCAGGGAATCAGCAAACTGACACTTATTAACTTAGATTTACGAATTAGCCCAGCAGAACTCAGATCAGTAATCCGACACTTGTTACACTTAGATTTACGAGTAGGCCCAGCCTGGCTTTTTCTTCACAGGAGCACCTTGCAAGCAGGGTGTTTCTATAGAAGGAGTGTCACAAGTCCTCAAGGAGGTCCTCCCACTCAGACGACCACCCCTGTGACACGTGTAGTCCACTCTTTTTTTTTTATTGAAGTATAGTCGATTTACAATGTTGTGTTAATTTCTGCTGTACAGCATAGTGATGCATTTATATATATAATTCCTTTTCATATTCTTTTTCATTAAAGGCCATTACAAGGTATTGAATATAGTTCCCTATGCTCTACAGTAGGCCCTTGTTGTTTATGTTTTATATATTATATATTAGTTAGTATCTACAAATCCCAAGCTCCAAATTTATTCCTCCCCATCTCCTTCTCCCCACAACCTCACTAACCATAATTTTGTTTTCTGTGTCTGTGAGTCTATTTCTGTTTTGTAAATATGTTAATTTCTATCCTTTTTTAAAATAAAATTCCACATGTAAATGATATCATACGGTATTTTTCATTCTCTTTCTGGCTTATTTCATGTAGTATGATATTCTCCAGGTCCATCCATGTTGCAGCAAATGGCATTATTTTATTTTTTATGGCTGAGTAGTATTCCTCTGTGTGTGTGTGTGTGTGTGTGTGTGTGTGTGTGTGTGTGTATCTATATCTATCTATATATCTCACATCTTCTTTATCCAGTCATCTGGATAAAGATGGACATTTAGGTTGTTTCCATGTCTTGGCTATTGTAAATAGTGTTGCTATGAACATTGTGGCGCATGTATCTTTTCAAATTAGAGTTCCCTCTGGATATATGCCCAGGATTGGGATTGCTGGATCATAGGGTAGGTCTGTTTTCAGTTTTTTAAGGAATCTCCATACTGTTTTCCATAATGGCTGCACCAAACTACATTCCATAATGGCTGTACCAAACTACAGCGGTGTAGGAGTGTTCCCTTTTCTCCACACTCTCTCCAGCATTTATCCTTCATGTAGTCCATTCTTAGAAACAGTTTTACACTTAGTTGAGCATTAAGGAATAATCCTGGGTAAGAACCATGCATATGTGGGACATGTGGGAGAGGCTTCTAGTTCGGTACAAAACTTGACCAACGCTCATCCCTCAGTAATAATAATACTGTGTTAATAACCACGGCAGTAAGGAAGTAATAACTAACACTTATTGACAGTTTTCTAAATTCCAAATACCATGGTTTGCCTGTCATGCATTTTATTTAAAGTTCATAATACCCCCACAGGTAAGTCCTATAAATGGTGAAGAAGTTTAGGACAAAGACTCCAGAGCCAGACTGTATATGTTCACATCCCACCCCAGCTAAGTTCTGTGCTTTTGGACAAATAATGTAAGCTTTTAGTGCTTTATCTTTCTTAATTTAGAAATGGGGCTGATAATGGCATATGCTTCCTTGGTGTTTGAGAGGCTTGAGGTTATGTGGGTGGAGGATGTAGAGCAGCATCTGCCAGAACTCAGCCTGTGCAGTGTTTGCTATCATCTCCATATGATAGATGAGGACACAAGGGCTCACAGAGGCCCAATCACCTGCCCCAGGTGACTGCTGCCCCCATTGAGATTATACTTGGGTTGGGGTTTGAACCTGGGGATATGGGGCTGTTGTGTGCACAGAGGAAGACATTATTTTTCTTATTTCATGCCCAAT